CTGATTCCTTCCCCCCCCCCCCCCCCCCCCCCACTTTTTTTTTGATTGGGATAATACCATGGGGGTATTAATCCCCAGAGCAAAATGATCAGGAATGGTATCCTGGCAATTTTGCTGGTGGTTTTGGCTATACAGGCTTTGGGTAGGATAATACCATGGAGGTATTAATCCCTAGAGCAAACTGACCAGGAATAGGGTCCTGGCAGTTCCTGGCCACATGGGCCTTGCCCCCTCTATCTTGCATAGTGGTATAGCTGAGACTGGATGTCCAGGCTGTAGCCATAGGCCTGGGCCTTTTTTGGCTGTTTCACACCTATTACATTTTAGCCTAGCTGTGTGGCTGAACTCCAGCCATATGATTGGCTGGCAGATTTGGGCCAGGGTAGAGCCTGGCATGTTTTGAGCCAGGGTGAACCCCAGCATCACTTGTTGTTTATCTAGGCCTCAGTGCAGTATAGGCCTGGCTGGCTCTTGCTGCCCAGTTCAGGCCCAGTGAGATAGGCCTGCACCTCCTTTTGTCCCTTTTGTAGTTTATGTCCCAACCAAGTGGAGTGGTTGGGTGCTAGTTGTAGGTCAGGCCCAAGCCCTTTTAGTTCTTTTGCAGTTTTCTGCCCAGCAGAGCTGGGATCGGGACTAGGAATATTGGTGTGCGGTATGCTGATGAAAGCCACGTTTAACCCCTCAAAGCTGAGGAAATGGAGATTGGCACTCTACCATGTCTCCAGGAGCAACAGAGCCCCTTGCAATGCAGAAGGACCCACGCTCTCAGGCAGCTCCTTGCAGCACAGTAAACCCAAGGATCAGGTCAGGACTTTCCAGTGTAGGCCCCCCTTTTCAGCTCATTGCTGACAGGGCAGGTATAGGGGTGCAGGCCCCCAGAACTACCCAGTAGTTCCTCCTTCCAGGAGGCATATAAACACACGATAGCATGCATTTCTGTGTATGAAAGGGGAATAATTCTGCTCTCTCTCTTAAAAAGACAAACCCTGACAAAATGTGATAAGGCAGCAGGAAGCATTAGCAATTGATTTTTTTTCCCCTTTGTTATATATCCCCTGTAGCCTTGGTTAGGGTTTTTACCCCAAGTAGAAGATAAATCAGTAAAGCTGTTTCTTGTTTGCTTCCTCCTGCAGCAACATCCTCAGCAATAAGGGCAGTGACTGATGGAGCACTGCTGTGAAGGGAGTTATTTAACTGCTTGCTGCAGAGCAACAGGGGGAAGCTACTGGCTTTGATACAGTACAATACAGTTGGAGTGGCTCGATGCTGGGTATAGTTATGTAAGAGTATTCTTTTCAATAGCAATACAGTTTTCAGATATATTAAACTTTCTGCTGTAATGCCCTGACCCTGAGCTAATTCAGATGGAGGCCAATCATATAGTTTCTACCTTAAGGTTTCCTATAGCAACCATAACCATCACTGTACTTCCCAGGTCAGTTAGATTTGTAGTATGAGCTATGTGGTGCCTTCTTCTCTTCTCCTTTATATAGTTACAGCAGGTTTTATTCAAGGTATAATTTTTATGATTATATAAAAATGTTACTCCAGTGGGGACATCCACTGCAGGCTCCTGTTAATTAGCTATAACATGAAGGCCATAAGAAGGATTAAGCATAGGTTTTACTAACAATAACAATGCTATGCTTATGGACTATAGTCTTTCTTTAAGGTCATAGAAGACACAACAATCATGCCTGGCGTTTGTCTAGCATTTTGAATACATAAAATGCTACATATTCCTTCTACCTCCTCTGGGAAGCAGATGAGAATGTTTTCTTCAGAGTATTAGTATGAGATATTGGTATGCTTCATTTTATGCATGGGTATACAAAGTTGGAGAGGTGAAGAGCAATGAAATCAATAATATTGACTGGAGCGGTGTTAGATTAGAAGTAGGAAATCGAATGTGCAAGACCACAGGCAGAAGCAGTGTCTGGGCTATATCTAGAATGTATGACAAGTTCCTTGTTTCTTAAACTGGATAGACAATATTTCTTTCTTAAGTATTCACAGGTGGTTTATACAGTGCTGGCCAATCATATCATAGTATTACTAAACTATCATTGCCCCACTTCACAGTGGAATTATCTACATATGCCCCTGACCGCGCATTTGGTACTGTTCAATCTGGTACTGCTGGTACTGTGCAATCCCGGCAGTGCATGGTTAGTTTTATATGCTACATCACCATAGCAATGGTAATGTAGCAGTGGTATCATGGTTTGTGCCTACTGATGCTACGTTGCCGTAGTGACAAGCTATGTTGCTGTAGCTCATTGCTATGGCGATGTAGCATCTCATGTAGACGTGCCAAGTGTGACTGTCTGGGCACTTGTAGTGACAGATGTTGGAAAAAGCTTATCAAAACATTAAATGGATAATTTTGTACAAACTCACCTGATCTGAATCATTGACTGTAATTTTCAGCCCCCTCAGGATCTCACCCTCTGGTGGGTGTTCATACATAGTCAGTTCAAACCAGTTCTGAGGCCCATTTTCTCCATAGAATGTTGGTGGATGATTGTTGAGATCAACAATTCTTATAATCACTGTGGCAAAAGCATACACTGACGCATTGCCCTCCACGCTGAGTTCTGATGCCTACAATGAGGAAAAGATGCAAATAGGGACTTCTTTTTAAAGATGTATTTAGTTAAAAACATTTCTTCTCTCAGGTCCAGCTAAAACCATTATCCGCATGCACAAATCACACTGATATTTTGTACATGGACTAGAGGCTAGCACATGAACTTACATTTGCTTTTACATTTAATTCCATTTTGGAAATAAGCCTAACTTTGATATGAAGATTGAAGGTGAAATCATGTCACTGAGAAATCTGCCAATAACTGGTAAGGTAAGGATTTCACTCTAGAGTTAAACACACTTGCAAAAATCATAGATGTACAAAGCTGTGATCAGTTAACCCAAAACTTAATAAAGAAATAAGGCCATGTATATAGGAAAGGGCTTCACAAAACTTAATAAAGAAATAAGGCCATGTATAAAGGAAAGAGCTTCCCCATCCACATCTGTCTTAGAATCAAAACTGCTCCCTAGGGCTAAGGAAAGACATGCAAAAAGCCTGAGCCTGAACTGATTCAATCTTTGCAGGTTAGTCTAACCTGCCTAGGTTAACCTGGTTTGCAACCACACAGATATTCTCTCTAGATTGAAGAAATGCAGGCATATGCCTGCATTGGCTCAGGCTAGAAGCTGGGGGGCGTTAGATTAGCCCTCTCTTCCCTTCCATAGTGCTGAGCTGAGGGGGGATGTGGCTAGACCACAGGATGCTCTGATTAGGGATAGGTGTAAACCCCAACCCTGGCCTGCACTGTCTCAGGCTTTTCCCCACTTGCAGCTCACGGGGCAGAAGTGTAGCCAGACCGCAGCCCTGGGCTATCACTCTGAGACAAAGCAGGGTGTGTAGTGCATGCATCTGTTGATGATATTGAGCTTTTCAATCTCCCTCTCCCTGCTTCTTCATACTGTCTGCAAACCTGACAGGGCTGCAAATCAGCAAGAGGCTGATAAAACCAGTGTTTATCAGCCCATCAACAAAACAAAAGCCTCTCGCATCAGTTCAAGCTCTTCTTAAACAGCTTTTTCCAAGGAAGGAAAGGAGGGACATTACCAGCTGACCTGTTGATTAGCTCCAAAAAGCCCTAAGTGGACACTGTTCTGTCTGCCTTTGTCCTGTCCCAGTGAAATTGCACACACACTTAGTATTAGCATTAGCTAGCATACTACATGCCTAGGGTCCTTGGGGCTCAGGCCTGTGCTGTGGGAGATGGGGGGGGCGGGGCGGGGGGGGGCGGGGAGAATCCCTGCTTGAGCAGTGAGGGAAGCCAGGCAGACCCTGCTCTGCCTGCAGTCTCCCCTGGAACTCTGGATACGGAGGAGAGGGGCAGGGCTACCTTGTTCTCCAGAGCAGGGCTGCAAAGCACCTGGGATGCTGGGGACTCTGACTTAAGTTAAACCAGGAAGGGGTCTGGGACAGACATTGCATAAACCGGTTTGACCCAAATCAGTTAAGTCTGATACAATATTCAACCAGGTTTATCTTAAATCGGTTTCAGCCATTTTGAAACTGGTTTAATGTGCGCTGAACTTATGTTCTGTTCCAGGTTTAAACAAGATTCTGATCACTTAAACCGGTTTATATGTAATGTCTGTCCCAAGCTTAGGAGGTGTGTCTACACAAGATGCTACTGTGCAGTAGCAACTCATTGCTACTGTGCAGTAGCATTGCTAGGCAGTAACTGTGATGCAATGCTACTGTGCAGTAGCTCATCGCTACTGTGCAGCAGCATTGGAAAAAACGTGGGGTAGGTACTGCACAGTAATGCTGGTTACTGCACAGTCATTTAGTACTTGCTTATGCCGCTTGTGTAGACGTGTTCAGGGAGAGATTGTCCAAATTTATCTAAAGTAGAAGCTGAGCTAAAGTTTTGCCAAGAATGAAAATTGAAAAGGAACCTGAATCTCTTGGGTTTCAGAAACTCTTGGATGTTTCCTCCCAGTAGTTTCTCATATACCACTGCCTTTCCTGGCTCGGTAATATGTTGTGAGTTCATCAACAACACTCTGGACATTGCTGGGTTGAACTAACAGTTATTTATTATTATAATTCTCTGGAATCATATCCAGGGTGGATCTTAATAATGGCCCTCAGTAGATATATGCAGAACTTATACTTGCTCTGCCTCTGACTTGATCCAGTCCAGTCCTGTGGAGGAAGAGGAACCAAGAATGCCTCTGGCTCCTCATGGCAGAGAACATGGAGTCCTCAGTGATGCAAAACTGCCACAAAGCAAACTGAACTGCAGTGCTGAACATGAGGGATGCCTTAAAGGGATGGTATAAGGAAAACACAATAAGGACAACACTCCTTCCCCCTGACAGAATAGTCAGCCAACCATTTGGGAGGACCGCTGTGGTCTTCCCATAGATCCAGACTCAGTGAGGGCTTCAGCAGATGATGGCCCTGGAGACTCAACAGTGACACATCCTTCTGACAGTGATGCAAAAGGGTTTCAATTGGTGGAAACAGGTAGGCACTTTCTCAATGAATCCATGTCTTTCGGTGGTGGATTGGTGCTTGGAGATTGCTCAGGTATACAGTTATCAGTAGGAGAACATCCATGAAGCTGGTCCACATGATATCTCCAAATGTGTCCATTGTCAGTCTGGACTGTATATGATATGGGTCCTGTGGCTCTTACAATTTTGGACTGAACCCACTGTGGGCCCATCCCATAGTTCTGAGCAAACACAGTCTCTTGTGGAACAAAAACATTTAGGGTACCAGATGCCAATGCAGAGTCCAACTCCTTTTCTTTCCTAAACTGCATGTCTCTCACAAGGGCTGGGTTAACATGGTTAAGATATGTCTTGAGACGATGACCCATAAGAAACTCTGATGGGCTGGACCCTGTTGTAGGGCAAGGAATTACATGTTGAGCAAACAGAAATCTGGCCAGTCTGGTAGGCCAGTCTCCTACAACAATCCTGTTCAGTGCATCTTTTGTAGTCTGCACCATTCGCTCAGCTTGCTCATTGGCCTGTGGCCTGTGAAGTGCAATGGTAACAGTTCGAATGAGGTTGTGGCTGGCAAAATCTTGGAACTCTGCTGAGGTGAATGCACTGCCATTATCAGAAATGATAGTGTCAGGCACCCCATGGGTTGCAAACAGCTGACAGAGAGCTGTTATAGTGGTAATTGATGTAAAAGTTGAGATAGTAATCACTTCAAGCCATTTTGAGTATGAGTCAACAACAATTAAGAAGTTCTTACCTTGAAAAGGGTCAGCAAAATCAATGTGAATGCGTGACCAGGGTTCCTCTGTCATTTCCCAAGGGAATACTGGTGCCTTTGGTAGACTATGAAGGGTTGCTTGGCAAATGCTGCACTCCCTTGCAACCCTTTCTAAGTCATTGTCCATACCTGGCCACCATACATAACTTCTATCCAGTGCTTTCATCCTCACAATGCCTGGGTGTGATATGTGCAGTGTTGTTAGTATGATTTGGCGTCCTGCTTCTGGAATTATGACATGATTTCCCCACAAGAGACAACCCTTGTGGGCAGACAGCTCATGCTGATGTGATGAAAATGGCCTGAATTCCTGAGCCAATCTGTCTGCAGGCCAGTCCCTCCAGACCTAGTTGAGGACACAGGCAAAGCTAGGGTCTTTTGCAGTCATCCTTGCTATCTAATCAGACTGAAGAGGAGCTTCTGGCATGGATTCTAGCACAAGGACTTCTGCTGGCAGACGAGTAGCACAATCAGGTATTTGCAGTGGTAGGTGGCTCAATGCATCAGCATTTGCAATAGTTTTCCCAGGTTTCTACATGAGTGTAAATCATATGTGTTTAGCATGATGCTCCAGCGTTGCATTCAGGGAGATGAAATAGGAGTTGGTTTGTTCATAGTAAAAATTCCAAGAAGGGGTTTGTGGTCCATTCAGATTTTGAATTTGTGGCCATAAATGTAATTGTGAAATTTTTTAACTCCTTCAATGATTGCCATGCTTCTTTATCAATCTGTGCATAATTCCTCTCAATTGAAGCCATTATTCTTGAGTAAAAAGCGATGGGTGCATCTGTGCCATCAGGCAATGTGTGACTGAGGATAGCGCCAACACCAAACGGCAAGGTATCACAAGTAGTGGACAGTGGCTTCTGCTCATCATAGTGAACAAGGACAGAGTCTGATGTCAGCAACTTCTTGATGCCCTGGAAGGCTTCGTTGTGCTGGCAAGTCCACTTCCACTGAGCTCCTTTATCCAGTAAGTGATGAAGGGACTCTGCTATGGTGGCTTTGTCTTTCAAGAAGATGTGATAAAAATTGATAAGTCCTAAGAATGCTTGAAGATCCTGTTTGCATTTTGGTATAGGGGCATCATGTATTGCTTTTACCCTGTCTTCAACTGGGTGAATGCCAGAAGCATCAATTTGATATCCTAGGAATTTGATACCGGAATCTTCCAGTTGACATTTTTCTCTTTTACTCTGATACTGATTTATTCAATCTCTGTAAAACTTCTCTGAGTCTCTTGGTGAGTTTCTCTCTAGACGGCCCCATGATCAACACATCAAAGTATGGAACAACCTTGGAAATTCCTGCTAGCATTTTCTCCATGAATTGCAGGAAAATTCCTGGCGCCACAGAAATTCAAACTGGAGGTGCTTGACACGGAATGCTCCCCAGTGTGTAATTGTTTGGGCCTCAGCAGTCTTGTCATCCACTGTCAATTACTGATAGGCTTGAGTGAGGTCAAGTTTGGCAAAAACCTTCCCTCCTGCAAGAACAGACAGTAACTGGTTAATGGGAGGCATTGGGTGCAGGTCCTGCTTAAATCCCTGATTAACAGTGCACTTGTAATCCCCACAGATGCAAATGCTGCTGTTAGGTATTAAAACAGGAACGATTGGTGTGGCGCAGCTTGTATGTACAATTGGCTCGAGGACCTCTTGTGTGATAAGTTGATCTAGTTCTGCATCAGTTTTCAGCCGCAGTACGGAAGGTACATTCCAAGCCTTCATAAAGACAGGGGCTATCACAGGATCCATTTGGAACATCACAGGTGAACCAGACTAAATTCCTAATTCCTTGGAGAATACCTGGGGAAACTCCTTGCAAGCCTTTCCAGACTTTCTGTGCAGAGACTGTGTACACCTTGAATACTGATTCCCAATGGTGAGAACCAATTTCTCCTCAAAAGACTTTTGCAGGAACCCTTAGGGACAATCAGGGGTAGACACCGTCTAACAGATCCATACTGGACATCTACACTGCAGCTACCCAAAGTTTCCACAATCTGTCCATTGTAGTCATGCAGGTGACACTCGGGTTTCAATAGCTTGGGGAGAGGTTGCCAAAACAACTGGAAGAATGTTTTCATCTATGAAGGATACTCCCAAACCCGAGTCCACTTCCATTTTGTACTTCTTTACATTTATTACTACAGTTACAATAATCTCAGAACTGTTAATTTCAACAATACCAACATTTTGAATCAAATATAGTTTTTGTACCTCATATTCTGGGAAGGACTTTAATCTGTGAGTGGTTTAGGAGTGAATACATTTGCCACACTCTGTCTCCTGGAACTGGCCTTCGAGTGGCAAACCCTCTCTATGTGGTCCTTCTTTTTGCAGGCATAACACTTCACATTCCTAATCCTGCACTCCCTTCATCTATGTTGGCTGCCACAATTCAAACATGTCTGTGGATTAATTGGTTTATGTGGTGCTGCTGGTGAGGATATAATCCACTGAATTTGCTGGTGATGATCTGATTCTTCATCTTTTTGGAGTAAGTGGACATTGCTGGAGAATGCCTGGTGAATTTCTATCACGTTATGGGATGCTGCTTCAGCTGCCGAAGTTTTTTCTTGTGCAGTAGCCAAGGTCAAATTTGGTTCAGAGAGCAGGCGACATTGGAATGCTTCATCTTGAGCCCCATAGATGAGACGGTCGCAAAGCAGGAGATCCAGGAGATCACCGAACTCACAAAATTCCACAAGACAACAGAGCTCAGCTAAGTAATCTCCTATGTCTTCATTGGATTTTGGTCCCGTTTAAAAAAATGAAATCTCTGCAGGGCAACAGATGGCGTTGGGCAAAAATGTGCCTTTAGCAGAGCAATGAGTTCAGCAGAAGACTTAGTGTTTGGTAAGGCAGGTGCTGTGGGGGAAATGAACAATGGCAAATGTTTTGGCACCACAGACTGTCAGGAGCACGCTTCTGTTTTGGGTTTTCCACTTTTTGGTTTCCAGGTAATAGGATAGCCTTTCCACATAAATCCCAAAAAGCTGGCTGGCTTGTATCAAATTCTTCTATATGCCCCAATGTAGCCATCTTAACTAATATCAGCCATATAGAGAGAAAAGAAGAAGAAAAAAAACCTTTCCTCTGATCACAAAACACGACCTGGTCTCAGAATGTCATCCTCACAATCTAGGGGTGTCTTCAGCAAAGGATCCCATCCGTATTGCCAGATAATATGTTGTGAGTTCATCAACAACACTCCGGACACTCCTGGGTTGAACTACCAGTTATTTATTATTATAATTCTCTGGAATCATATCCAGGGTAGATCTTAACAATGGCCCTCACTAGATGTATGCAGGACTTTTACGTGCTCTGCCTCTCACTTGACCCAGTCCAGTCCTGTGGAGGGAGAGGAATCAAGAATGCCTCCTGCTCCTCATGGCAGAGAACAGGAGTCTCCAGTGCTGCAAAACAGCCACAAAACAGCTGAACATGAAGGCTTTAAAGAGACAGTACAAGGAAAACATAATAAGACACAATACTGGGGAAAGGGCATGGGAATGGAGGGGAGTGGGGAGGAGGAAGGGGAGAATCAGAGTGATGAAGCACTGTGAGACAAGCTATACTTACTTGGCGATATATCTGAAGAAGAAAACACAAGAGGCCTCTCTGTGGAGGCCTGTTCTTGGATTCAGCTAGCTGCAGGTGGATTGGATAAGATTTGGATAGGCAACTAGACTATCAGCACGTATTTGTAGGAACTGAACTACCACATATGTATTAAGTTCATTCATGCCTATTCTCTCACCATTTTGTGCTTCCTAAGCTTTAAATAATAGAAGGAACTGACTGTTTCTTTGTTTCACAGACTAGTTACCTACTGAATCCGTGAGAGGTAGGTACCTAAATATCTTTGAAGACATGGCCATTAACTAAAACCCATCAGATTTACCCCTGATCATGTGTACCCATTTCAATTAAGGGGTTAACCCAGCACTAAACTGGGTTTCATTTTGTATTTTACTTGTAGAAAAATATTGCTTTGATTTTTCTGATGCAACACACTATTCCATTTCCATCTTAAAATCTCTGAACATGTGGAGTCAGGTTTTCAGCCAGAAGTGAATACACTTAATATAGATACTATGAGCAGAGTAACCATGGCAGAGCAGGGTTCAGTATGGGCTACATGCCTCAATATTTACCCAGATTGTGAGGTAGGACTGGCAGCCTACACTGAACTACAGGCTTCAATGGCTACAGTGAGATGTCAGAGATCCTTTGTCCTGGAGTTTTACTAGTCTATGACATACAAGACTCTTCAGACCTTATTCAGTTTTTATCTTGGCAGATTTTCAGGGATTTTAAAATATGATTTCCATTTACATAGGTTATCATAAACATTGATTCTATAGAGTTTGTTTAAAAAGGAAACGAGGCATTTTTAATATCTGTGCAAATAAAGGGAATTTATTTTAATTTATACCACGTCAGGGTTGGGAAAGGTGAAAGCATAAATAGAACATGGAGCACTTATGGCATCACACATTTTACCTATTTTTAAATATATTTATACATTGGTGGACAACAGCTCATTGGAGACAAGTCTTGGGAACATACCTGAACTTTTAGCTCATACACCTCTTTCTTCATTTGGTTAGGACTTTTTATAACAGAAATGGCTCCAGTTGAATTATTGATGTCAAATGAGCTTTCACTTCCTACCATAAAACACAGATATTTCATTATTCATGTTACACTTTCCAATTCCCACCCCAAAAAAATCTAGCAATCCCCATGAGCAGTACAAATTATTTGCCATATTTTTTTACATACAACATGCCCTGGCTTATAATTTTGTTTTTGAAAGGTAGAATGAAGAAAAAGGTCTCTGTTTGTAATAAGTAACTGAGTAGCAGCTAGGGATATGAGCATTTTGCTCCCTGTGAGAGTCAAGTTGTAGATTTTACCTACTTTACAGTTTTTACCACCTTCCTTGCACACTACAATTTCCAGAAACTGATTTCTGGGAAAAATCATGTTGTATGCAAGATAATATGGTCCATATTATATATTAAAAATGTATTTCCAGGCCAAACCACAAGGTGGGGAAGGGTTGAATGGAACAGCAGCTAGCAAGTTGTTTGGAAGAATGCTGGCCCACTGACCAATCCTTGAATGATTATCGTGGAGCCCTGTGGATGTGAAGCAGAAATATCACAAATGATTCACCGAAGTTTAGGGCTGGAAGGGACCTTGTGAGATCATTGGGTCCAGTCCCCCTGCTCTGGGCAGGAAAGACCTCTGGCCTCAAATAACCCCAGCAAGGTGTGCGTCCAGTCTCCCTTTGAAGATCTAGAGGGTAGATGCCTGCACCACCCCCCACTGGGAGTGTATTCCAGAGTCTGGTCACATGAACTGTGAAGTTTTTCCTTACATGCAGTCTAAAGTCTTTTTCTAGGAGTTTATGACCATTGGTCCTGGTTTTCCCCTGGGGTGCTTTGGTGAATAGTTGTTCGCCTAGTCCCTGATGCTCACCCCTGATATATTTGAAAGCTGCTGCCAAATACCCCCAAAGTCTTCTCTTTCTCTAGGCTTGAAAAGAGAATTGAAGTGGCTGTTGTGCATGTGGAAGTCTTTGGCTAAATGTAGGTGAAGAGGGTTCAGGGCCATGAGCCTGAATTTCTCCTCTAGAGAGACTGGCACCAGTAACAGAACTGAATTTGCAGTCCTTGTCCTTGAAGAAGTACCAGGATTATGAAACTTCCCAGGCTCTACTCCACACACAGTCAGATGCCACTTATGTTTAAAAGGATAGGGGTTTCCTAAAAGGTAGCAAAAGTGAAACTGGAGAGCTATGTATAAAAGGGGGGATGCTGCCCCTCGGTGGAAGATTTAAGCAAGATGGACAGCATTTCTCCCTCTGTGTAAACACTATCTTCTGAACCCCAGACATGGGGTTCAGAAGATAGTGTTTACTATCTGTAAACTATGTTTACAAAGCAACTTTCTCTGTCTCAGAAAGTAGTCTCAAAATAAGAATGGGATTCACTGTACGTCAGACATGAAACTTATATTTTCCCTAGGAACTGGTGATTTCTGTTGGGTGCCCGACTTTCCGAACACTGTAAAGGGAATTGATTTGCAGAGTGCTGAAGCATTTAGCCCGTTTTGAAATTCAGGTTCTTTTCAGGCACCCAAAATGTCTTTGGACTCATATTTGCTGGTTTAGATAAAAATAAGATTCACACTGTAATTAGCACATCCAATTATATCTCTGTGAAAACAAGAACATCTCTTGATAATATCAGCTAAGTTGAGAAGTCTGACAATCTAACTAAAAACATTAAAAATAGTCATGTCTTCTGCAGGATGCACCTCTGGAGGCCTTAGGTCCTTGGACACTAAAAACAAAGGGTGCCTATACATTTGCTCTGGGGTGTGCAGGGGGAGGGGGGATGCAGCCTGCAATGTCTTGTGTATTCAGCATCCTGTGTTTCAAAATGATGCTGTGGGAACACTTTTACTAAAGCTGGTTCAATGAGCTTTGAAGTGCCCCTGCCACCATTTTGAAATGAAGGACGCTGAATACATGAGATTCTGTAGCACTCTAGAGGCTTCTGATTAGAATGCTCCAGCAGACGCAATTAATCTGATTAATCTAATCAGACCATGCCAGAACATGTGTAAAAGTGCCCATAGTCATGACTGTACTATTTAAAAAGGCCTTGAATAGATTTGGAGCATAACTCTGATCTTAACACTCACTGAGGGCCAACTAATTTACAAGGGGGATGAAAGAATCTGGGCTGCAGAAGTGAAAGGGCTGTGTGCTGGTTTCAGCACTCCCATTCTTCCTTACATTTGGCCAGAGAATAGATTACATTTGTGCTATGCTCCCCTTTTGACCTGGCTAATTTGTACATGAGCAGATGGCCACTTCCAGAGATGCCGTAATCACCTGCTTTGCTATCCTTAGCCCTCACTCTACCTACCTAATAGCATAGACAGCTGCTAGGAGAAAAGGAGGAGAAAATTAAAGCTTAGAAGAATGGCAGGGCTGTAAATACTTGATTATTCTGGGTTGGGAACTCGATGCTGGATGCTTCCCTCCCTTCACTTCAGCCTGCATAGAAAACTAGCCACATACAGTTTTTGCAGTTGAGCCAATTGTTGCTGCCAAAAACTAAAACTAAAAAAAAAAAAAAAAGTGCTTTAAAATCGAAGATTTCAGTCCTTCAGACATAAAGGCTGATCGTGTAAAGGCCAAGTCATTTTTCTCTCTCTCTAACTTGACTTTAATGCTCATTTTAAAACTGTCCAATAATGTCCCATTTTGCTAATATCTGCAATAACTGCGACTTCATTAAAGTGCATTAGACACAACATTGAACAGATATTGACTTATGTGGTGGTCAATTATCAAGATGCATAGGCCTGAAAAGTAATTTCTGACCAAGAAGAAGCTGAAGTCGATAGTAGTTTCAAGCAACAATTCATCAAGATATTGCCTAATTACCATAAGGAAATTGGTACCTCAGAGTATGTAGCATTATGTATTTCCTGTGAAAAAGCACATTTGAAAACTTAAGAGTTTCCTTTTAGAAACAAATGAACAAAACACACAGTTTGAAACAAAACAATGAATTAGCATATAATTAACAACTGGATGCTAGTACTTTTCTGAAATCTTGATAGCACAAATTCAAGGTTGAGAATAATGACCTGGCTTTCCACTGAGAGGTGGGAAATACTGCAGTGTTCGTCCTTGGTCTCTTACCTTTCTTTTCCCAAGTCAAGGGGTATGATTGGCCAGAAGATTTCCCACTGCCTCACACTCTAAAACCATGCTTAGTCCTTCCCTCCTTTTCTAGTCCCATTTCCTGCTAGAAATATCCCACTACAACGTACATGGAAACTTGGATAAAATTTGCTGGTCTTGAAGTTACGTTTACATTCTGGTGCTATCTGTGCTCTGTTCTCTTCTCTGCCATCCTTAATATTTCTCTTTAAACCAGTTTATTTCCTTTTTCTATGTTTTAATGACTCATTTTCCTTTCCATAACCACATCTCTCTCACATTTTTCTCTCTCTTTATCAAGCCCATATCTTTTTGCCCTAATTTATAGGGCTGTGTGAAATGGCACCATTCTGTTTTGACTTGCATTTCGATGGAACAGCGTTTCATTTTGAATTTCGTTTTGACTCGAAGCAGCTGTTCAATTTCGTTTTGCCGAGTTTTGCTGTTTCGATGTTTCACTCACAGGCTATCATGGGGAAGCTTGAAACAGCCTATAACTTTGTCATTTCTGACCTGATTTGGATGGAACTTGCAGGAATGGTAGCCTGCCGGGTTTCAAGGAGATAGGTGCAGGGGTTTCAGGGAAACTGCACAAAGTCTTGAAAGCAAAAAACTTATGTCACATGTATGTGTTAAGCTACAGTGGGGTGAAAACTTCAGGCATACTAGACCCTTCTGAGGCCACAAAGCCTTCCAAGTTTCAAGGAGATAGGTGCAGAGGTTTGGGGGAAACTGCACCTCAAGCTGCAGACAAGCAAAACTCATGACATGGGTGACACTGTGTGTGTTAAGATGCAGCAGAGTGAAAACAGCAGGCGTGCTAGCCCCTGCTGAGGCCATGAAGCCTGCCAAGTTTCAAGGAAATACGTGTAGGGGCTTCTGGGTTCTGGGGCCCTGCACCTTCGGCTGCTGACAGGCAAAACTTGTGACATTGGGTGCTTGTTGGGACTGTGTCAGTCTTGGGGCACAGCGGGGTGAAAACTGCAGGCCTGCTAGGCCCTGCTGTGGCTACAAAGCCTGCCAGCTGTCAAGGAGATGGGTGCAGGGCCCCAGAACCCAGACTCCCCCTACACCCATCTCCTTGAGAGCTGGTAGGCTTTGTGGCCACTTTAGGAGCTAGTAGGCCTGCAGTTTTCACCCCCCTGTGCCCCAAGACACACACAGTCCCACAAGCATCCAATGTCATGAGTTTTACCTATCAGCAGCTGGAGGTGCAGGGCGCCAGAACCCAGACTCCCCCTGCACCTCTAGCTGCTGACAGGCAAAACTCGTGACATGGGTGCATGACACTGTGTGTGTGTTAAGGTGCACCCTCACTCAACTGACACCAAGGCAGCAAGCAGGGCAGTTCAAACAATGCTGCCTTCTTTGCAGAGTTTCCATCCCTCCCCCTGAGCACTGGGATTGGAAGGGATCACAGGAAAGGATGACAGTCACTGGCCAGCTACAGAGACAATAATGAGAGCACTCCTTCTCCCTGCTTCCCCCTCCCTCTCCTTACTTTACTTTCTGTTTCCCTGCAGGCAAGCCAAGCTTGAGCTTCAAAACTCGAAATATTTCGAAATTTTCAAAACATTTCGACGAGCCTTGTTTCGTTTCAAAGTTCTCTGTTTCGTTTTGATGTCGCTGTTTCAAGCTCTAAATGAGTCAAAACAGCGTTGAAATGAAACTGCCAGAGAAATTTTGCACAGTTCTATTAATTTATCTCTTCCTCACATTTTCCCTGCTCCATCTCCTCCTTTTATTCTTGTCGCATGCCAACATCCCCTCTCCCCGTTGTCAATAACTTTTCCTCCCAATTTTTCTTTTCATTCTCTATCTTTCCTTCCCCCTGTATTCTTTGTTTCCTCTTCCCTGATTGTCCCTCCCCCATTATTTGCCCTTTTATTCCCATTTAAGCAGAAGGTATCTCCCATTCTCTCCCATTTAGGGGTAAAGCATAGAAGACCACTTTCTAACAGAATTAAATGTCATCACGTCTCTCCATACCTTGCCTTATCAGTGGCCGCCCGTTATACCACTTTCTGCCACCAGATCCAACCACCATCTATTTGTCTCATCAGGTGAACATGGTTCTTGTTACTATCTATTGACTCCTTTTGTAACTGGTACCAGGTTCTGAAACCTCCTCAGATTTCAGATATTAAAGACATGTACAAATGTTTAAGAACTTCTCAGGACAGTTGATGGAAAACTTTTTCTACCTAAAACATCCTGCTTATTCCAGTGTGGCAAGCATGAAGCCTCTCTTTATACATGAATGCCCATTCCACCCATAAGGCTTGCAACTGTTGACCTATGCTTTAAAGAATATTCATCACAATATGCACTATTCTCTGATATGCTCACTGTCTTCCTTTGTTTACCAACTTAGGCAGGAAAGTCCCTTAATAGTGGGACCATGCCTTCCTTTATATCTTGTCAAATGCCAAGTATACTATGGTGCTTAACAAAAAATAAGTATTATTAATGGTTTGAAGATGAGAAGTGCAGCTTCATGAAGAAAATACTAAAGGTCAATGAATCATCACTTTGCTGCTTCCAGCTAGACAGGGACTAGGAATAGTTTCAGGTGTCTGGCACTATTTTATGACAGTTTTCTTTAGACTTTATTAGACTCTAGCACACCACATTTTAATTCAAAGTTACATCTACCTTTGACATCCCTTAGGATTTCATACCAACTTAGTCTACTCACCATTCACAAGACTGTAATGAATATTGTTAGGCTTTCCTCTGTCACCGTCAAGAGCAATAACTGTTAGTACCTCAGAGCCCTAGGGAAGAATGGGGAATTACAGTCTATGTAGTGAGATCAAAGAATACTGAAATTACTACTGCATATTAATAAAATCCACTTCAGGCAGTCCCCCTGCTCTCCCCAACAGGGTGATAGATGCTCTTGCTGTGGTTGCATTAGGAATATGGCACGGACTCATACTTCTTAGCTTGAAAATCACAGCTTGACTTTGTGGCAGGTCATTTGCTTGGTACGGCAACAACTTTTTGGAGGGCCCAGGATTAGGTTTCAGGACCAGGCACTCGACTTTTGTGCCCCTTTCTTCCATTCTTCTTCCTGTAAATCTCCCAGTTGTTTATTCATGTGTAGTGCAGGTACTGATTCTTTCAGTGAGTTGTGATAGGAAGCAAAAAGCAGTGTCAGTACCTATATACACTTTCCATTCAGCAATGCAGGTTGACATCACAGCTGCTCATGGTTCAAAGTCTGATATTTTGAGCAGGATAAATCTACCAAGGGAAATGTGAGGCTTGGCTAGCAATTAAGTTTAGAAGTTCTGTCTCCTGGGAGAGAGAGGACTGAGATACTTCTTGATTACTGAACTTTTGCTTAGGACAGCTCTTTATCAAGGTGGAATGCCGTGTGGCTCATGGCCTTAGGTAGGTGGCCAGCCTAAGCAGCTGTCTAAGGCCAAATCAGACTCTGGTTTGACTAAGCAGTGCCTACAGATTTCCTAATTATTAACTTGAACAGAGGGTGGCCTGTACTGGGGAAATCAGCTGCTGCTACCGCTTGATGCAAAGTCTAGTCGAAGTTTTTTTCCTATTGTTTATAATGGTTGAATCTAGCAAAGTTGCACTGTGTTCTGTTTCTTTCCTCCTCCTCTCCCCCCAAAACGTGAACATTCATTTTGCAGCACTGTCAGCAAAGAGATTCATTATCTAATACCTACCCTGATCAGCTTAATGTCAGCATAATGTAAGGCAGGCAAAACCTTTGTTGACATGTGGAATATGAAGTTGGTCCAAGGTGAGATATTGGCTTGCAACAGTCTCAGTGTTGCTGCTGATGATATACTGTGTTATTTGCCCAACTAACATCTACCCATCTACTCTATCTTGTGCAGCTCTCTATAAGCAATGAGAATAAATAATGAGAATACTGATCTGCTCCCCTGTGGGGTTTCTGATGAGCACAGAGCTGCCCACATGAGCATTTCAGTGGCAATACTGACTCCATTAGCCTGAAATAGAGATTAAATTCCTCTCTGCGAGGGTTTTAAGATATCATTGCTTTTTACTTTATGGGGGAAAACCAACCATGAAAGTGGCCAGAAAGAACCTGGAAAACAATACGCAGACATAGGCTAAAGCCACAAAATTTGGATACAGGATTCTTAAGCAGGGTTTAGAAGTATTCAACTGGAAGGTTTTAGTTTGGCTTATTGCAAACTAGAGCCATTTGCAAAATTCAGATGTGAACTAAAATTTCCATTATGCCATACTATCCAAAAGCCTAGGAGAACTTTAATTTAAGACTCTGGCCCATTTCCACATCTAATTTTAATCCGAAGAAGCCACCTCTATTTCTTCTGTCCTCTTCTCATACAGACATACCATTCATATAATGGGAGTAACTTCCATTTCTTATAACTCCTTGATTGCAGCCTGATTTATGAAGTCTTTTCTCCACTTTTACTGATACTAAATGAGCTGAAGGAGCCTAGCATGTTGCAGAATAAAACCTCTACACCGATCCTGCAAATACCACTCAGCTCATATAAACAGCCAACATGTACGGTTCAGTAACTTGTTTAAATTTCCATGTTTTGGAATTGCAATGTGTTTTTTTGCCTTTTAGTTTGCCAAGAAATAGACAGTTACTAGAAGGTTACTTCATCATTTTTGTTCTTTCCAATTAAATTGAGATAGAGTAGAAACAAATTAGGGGGTCATATGGTAACATTCCTTGTAAGTACTTTGAAATCTCATAAGTGTAAAATCCTGATGAAAATTTGTTGTTGTCTTTAAAAGCTTTATGGGCTTTCCTTTTGCCTAACAAGCATCACTCTGGGCTACATTATTCCAAATTTGTTACTATTAATAATGTTGATTCACAGACATAGTTCTACTGCATCCAGGAGAATTCTTCAGAATACAAGTGTTCAGCAAAATATGCAAAGCTCTCATAATCTAACCCCTTTGAAAATGTTTTATGAGGGAAAACCAACCATGGAAGTGACCAGAAAGAACAACATCTTTATATGTCAATATCAACAGTATCAACAGTCAATATCTTTGTATGGGGAACACTGAGAGAATGTTAATTACTTGCAAAGAACAAGTGGGAATGTTTTCATGATGACCACTGCTTATTTCAAACAATGACAGCTTTCTGTCAGAGAAACAGCACTGTCAGAACATACAATATATATGCTAGCAAACACCAACCTCAAAAAGTCATTTAATTTACCAAACTTATGAACAGGATATTCATACATGAAACATCAATAAAAGTCTACTGAAAGTGTCAATATTTATTATTCCATGGGCTGGAGGCAGACTTTACAAAAAAAGATTGTGAAGGAAACCCAGAAGTTGATTGAGTACATGGCTGCTTCCTTCCTGGCTGTCCCACTGACAGCCTGTCCTTGACAGTCTGGTAGCTTTAGAGCGGTGACAGTCACATAGCCCATTCTGTCTCCTTAGTCCCCACTTAGCAGAGAAGTTCCCACAATATTAGATGTTAGAGATACTACCTCCATAGTGACTCCAGGGAAGGTTGTACTTGGGACCTTATGGCATAATGGGCAATAGGGTAGCAGAATCATAGATTCTTCCCTAGCTAATATTTGTAGATATCAGGGGCAGAAGGGACCTCAGTGGATCATCTAGTCTCACCCCCTCACCTCCCCTGAGGTAGGGGAGAGCACCACCTCCCTTGGAAGTCCATTCCAGATTCTGACAGCCCTTACCATAAAGAAGTTCTTCCTGATGTCTAACTTGAATCTGCTCTCTGTCAGTTTGTGGCCATTATTTCTAGTTACTCCAAGGGGTGCCCTGGTGAACAGAGCATTTCCTATCCCTTGTTGTCCCCCCCACATGAATTTGTAGATGGCCACAAGATCACCCTTCAGACTTCTCTTGCAGAGGCTGAAGAGATTCAGGTCCCTCAATCTCTCCTCATAGGGCCTTACTTGGAGGCCCCTAACGAAGTGCAAGTGCAGGGTGCTGCACTTGGGCAGTAGTAACCAGTGGCACACTTATAAGATGGGAAACTCCCTTCTTGAGAGCACGGAGGCAGAAAGGGATCTTGGAGTCATCATTGACTCCAAGATGAACATGGGCCGACAATGCAAGGTCACGGTTGGCAGGGCTAACTGGACCCTACCGTGCATCCACAGGTGCATCTCAAGTAGGGCCAAGGAAGTGATCCTTCCCCTCTACGCGACACTGGTCAGGCCACAGCTGGAGTACTGTGTCCAGTTCTGGGCATCCCACTTCAAGAGGGATGTGGACAACATTGAGAGGGTCCAGAGGAGGGCCACCTGCATGATCCGGGGACAGCAGGGCAGACCCTACAATGAGAGGCTACGGGACCTGAACCTGGTCAGCCTTCACAAGAGAAGGCTGAGGGGGGACCTGGTGACTGTCTATAAACTCACTAGGGGGGACCAGAAGGGTTTGGGGGAGGCCTTGTTTCCCCTAGCGGCCCCCGGGATAACAAGAAATAACGGCCACAAGTTGTTGGAGAGTAGGTTTAGATTAGACATCCATAAGAACTACTTTACAGTTAGGGCAGCTAGGATCTGGAACCAACTTCCAAGGGAAGTGGTGCTGGCTCCTACCCTGGGGGTCTTTAAGAAGAGGCTTGATGCCTACCTGGCTGGGGTCATTTGAGCCCAGTTTTCTTCCTGCCCAGGCAGGAGGCCGGACTTGAAGATCTACAAGGTCCCTTCCGACCCTACTTCTATTATTCTATATGAGTGGCCCTCCTCTGGACCCTCTCAAGGTTATCCACATCCCTCTTGAAGTGCAGCACCCAAAACTGGACGCAGTACTCCAGCTGTGGCCTTACCAGTGCCGCATAGTGGGGAAGTATCACCACCCTAGTGATATTCTACAGAACTAGCTGATGGCTTACGGATATGTGAGCTGGTAAGTAAAGGTATACCAAGACCAAATATATCTATTTATTGATATGCCCAGAGGCTTCTGTATCACCTGTGCTGGGGGGTCAGGTGAATGTGGTAGCTCATTTGAGCTCTCTTACAGCAGCTCTTTGATTCATAGATGTTAGAGTTGGAAGGGACCTCAATAGATCATCGAGTCCGACCCCCTGCATAGGCAGGAAAGAGGGCTGGGGTCAGATGAACCCAGCTTGAAGACCCCCAGGGTAGGGGAGAGCACAACCTCCCTTGGGAGTCCATTCCAGACCTTGGCCACTCTAACTGTGAAGAAGTTCTTCCTAATGTCTAGTCTAAATCTGCTCTCTGCTAGCTTATGGCCATTATTTCTTGTAACCCCCAGGGGCGCCTTGATGAGTAAAGCCTCACCAATTCCCTTCTGTGCCCCCGTGATGAACTTATAGGCAGCCACAAGGTCGCCTCTCAACCTTCTCTTGCGAAGGCTGAAGAGGTCCAGGTGCCTTAGTCTCTCCTCATAGGGCTTGGCCTGCCAGCCCCTAACCATACGAGTGGTCCTTCTCTGGACCCATCCTCAGTCATGGATAATTCTACTCACTGTGAGATCAAAGGGCAAAAATACCTTTCATTTTAGAGAGTGCAGGAGTAGGCTCATGTCTTTTCTGGTGATTGGACATAAAGAAGTACTAGCTTGAGATTTACCATAGTCTTTTCTGTTAAGGCTCAAGTCAGAAATTTGGATCTGGGTCTTTAGTAATGTAAAGTTGGTGCCATAAACTACTATGTAAACTTAACCCAATGCTTTTAATAGTGAATGTGTTTATTTCTTGATTCTCCAAAAGGTGAAAAATAGTGATACTCACAGCCAGGGTATCCTCATAGACATATCCATAGTATGGAGTCCCAATGAACATGGGAGGGGTATCCTGAACATCTTCTACATTGATAGTGACTGTAGTTGTTGCTGAAAACACCTTGTTGTTTCCCCGGAGCTTCCCACCACCATCCTGAAAGAAAACACATTGTAAAAATCACAGTATTGAAATTTGCCTGAGACCCCTTGATTGTAAACTTATCAGTTTACAACATCACATACATTTCTGATTAGTCTTCACTGTTCATTCCCAAGGCTATTATATCTCTAACGACACACAGAAGAACGGATGCGTGAGAATAAGAAGGAAGGATGGGGGGGAGGGGGGTTATTTCATATGTTCTTAGCAAGAAAATGATAATTTTTTCAGGTCAATACTATGTGGAAACAGATAAATGATATTAGAACCAATCAGTTAATGCTGTTACAATAAACTCTGCTCTTTTGTGTTTCTGCTATTTTCAGCTTGTTTTGTTCCCTTTCTGATTAGAGGGACAGCTCTCTCTGGAGTCATTTTAACAGTAGAAGTGGTTAGGTCACTACAAAGAATCACATCATTTTGTATTTGATATCCTGTGTATCAACACCACCTAGGGCAGAAAATTCCAGGGCTTTCAGAAAAAGGGAGAGTTAGAAAACGAAGCAAAACTTGGTCAAGAGGATATATAGCTTTTTATTCTAAACATAGATCTAACATAATAAGAAGAATACACTACTTCAAGTAGTATTGCTAGGGAAGGCTGAAACAGAGCATGTGATCAAAGTCTCCAAGGAACTCTCTTGTGATATAATCAAAAGTGTAGAAGAGCACAAAGCCAGCAGCTCTTAAATGGCTACAATGTATAAATAATCTTTGTGGATTGTGGTACTATCAGCTCTGTGTTCCTGACATAGAAGAGCCAATTAGAGAGAGGACTCAAGCTTTTAACCCCTATTGCCTCCAAGCTCTGGCTACAAATGAATAATTTTGCTGGCAATTTAAAAAGCGGGTACATTTTAGCATCCTCAATGTAAGAAGGAAAACTGGGACAGTAAGTTTCTGAAGAACAGAAGTGTCACTTCCATCCTGTGCTAATTTCAACACTTATATGTTGCTCCATGCCTTAGTGGTAGGCAATGCCCACAGCCAACACTCAGCTGATTGTTGCACACTGGCCAGAATGAGGGTAGGCCAGGAACCACATTCGTCTGAGTCTAATTCCCACCCATGAAGGTGGTGTAGAATACTGGCCCTGGACTTTTGCAGAATTCTAAATGCAGCTTTGCATAGTTGCAGCTCTTCCCCTTCTCAGTGTCTTCTCTCAGGAAAGAGCTTGATACCTTTGCAACAACTGTAACAAAATGAGTCCTTGATTTTTCATAGTCCAGGGTGACCCCTCTTTTGATGCGAAGAACACCACTGTGCCGGTCAATTGTAAACTTATTAGTATGGATGTTCTGGAAGAAAAAAAAGTAGTGAAAGATTTGACGCATAGAAACAAGATTGCTGTTGGGACTTACATTTTACTTTATCTGCTCAGGGGAAAGACTAGAATAATGATAGGGTTGGGAGGGAAATATGTCATAATTTAGTTAATGAATTTCACTTCTATGTGTTTATGAATAATTCATGAACATACTACAATTTTCTCATTATTTAAAATGTCACAAATTTAACTTAGACATTTATTTCCTGACCTTTTAGTGTTTCATTTTGCAACCTTAATTTTCTGTTAGCTTACTTCATTCAATAGAATTACCACAGAATTTTTTAACAGAAAAAAAAAATGGGGAAAAATGCACAAAAATTCTTGCACCCCTTTTCGGGACTTAGTTCAGAACTCTACCAGACTTTCAAAAGCAACTAGGGATTTTTTGGATGTCCAAAAAAAGCACTTAAAAGGGTTCTGATTTTCATAAAGCATTGAGTGCTCTAAAAGTGTCTGAAAATCAAACCCCTTCAAGGTGTCTCACATTGGGCACTCAAATTGTCTTGGTGTATTTGCATAGACGCTACTAATGGAACAGTTCAAAAGAGGGATCATCAACCTTTTAGGAGCTGTGGGCCAAATGAATGAAGATTAATCCAAATGTGGGCCACCACTTGGGATCTGGCTGCTGCTCCTATTTCCCTCACCACCTAGTGCCATCACTGAAATGCTGTCAATACACTTTTCCCCACAAATATCAACCACACCAATGCTTCCTCCACCACTGAATTGCTACCAATGTCCTAGTTTTGTGGACTGGATAAAATTGCTTAGTAGGCCTGATTTGGCCTTGAGGCCATAGGTTACTGACCCCTGGTCTAACACATACCCTGTAAAAAAGCTATAGAAAAGAGAGACCCTGTTCCATAAAACTTAGGAGTTCTTAGACATGGAGTCAAAAGTTCTCGTGGAATCATTCCTCTGACCAGTGTACATTTCAAGTAGAAATTTTGCTACATGGATTAGCCAGCCACACATGCAAGTATGTCAGAGCCTTTCCTCAGCAGCAAAATTTATAAGCTTAGTGAAAAAATGGTTGCAAAAATCAATGTATTGTGCAACTCAAAAACACCATGGTATTTCATTATAATAAGAATATATGCATACCAAACTTCAACTTTTGACTCCCATTTGATGTGACTGCATGCAGGATTAAGGTAATAACAATATTGTATAATGGGAAACTACATATTTTTCATCCCCCTACTATTAAAAATAAAATGACTAAACCAATTTTACTTAAACTTTAAACATTTTCTTGAGGCACAATCCAAATCTGGACACTTCTGCCACAAAGGTGAAAGTTTAAGGTATTAACAAGCAACTCTAAACAGGAGTTTGAACAGATGCCTACATGCAATTTTAATAATAATCACCATGGCCATACCTGTTATCAAATAATAGTTCTGCCTGTAAAAACTATCATGTTATGATAATAGTGCTCTGTACACAATGTATCTGTTCAATGGGTGATTATGTATGATATTAATGCAACTTATTGACTGTTGTTTTCTTGTTGATAAGGAGAAAATGAAGGTCACTTGTCACAAAAGTGGGAAACATTGGCAAAGTACAGGACAAAAAATGATAATAGAAATAAAATTAAGACTGATTTTCTGCAAGAGAAGTGGGTTTTTAATGTACTGACTTAATCTGCATGACTTGCAGGAACTGCAGAGAAAATCTGTAAGTGAAACTGGATTTAAAACAATTCCCTTTGCAATAAGATCAATGTTTGTATAGGGTTTCTTTTTTCTTTTTGTCTGTTCAAGGTACTTATTTTAATGGGTCTTTGCTTTCATTTACCTCCTAAAAAGAGGATTAGCTTTAATCCTACATAAATACTTTCTGAGTAAATCCTCTAATTAATCAGTTACTTGGTACAGTTATTCCTGCTTCTCACTGGGCATATCAACCTGCATGGGCCATGGAGGCAAAGCAGAGATTGCAGAGTCTGAGTGCCAGCTGTTTGCACAGCACTTCTGCAAAGAGTTCTCTTAATGAACAGCCATTTTTGCTTACAAGAATGGCATTCCCTCTTGTGTTTAAAAGCAGGAGAGGGCTAACTATGGATACTCAAAAAGCCCGAGGGTGAATTGATTCAATCTTTGCAGGTTAGTCTAAGCTGTGTAGATTGAACTGATAAGCAAGTGAACAGACATTTATTTTTTATTCTGGAAATGCAGCCACATGTCTGCAGTGGCCCAGGCCAGAAGCCAGGGTGAGGAAAAGGCAGAGAGGGGGAAGGGAGGGGTACTAGACCACCACACCCCCTTGCTTGGCTGAAGCAGACAGCATGGGCCAAGGCTAGCCTGTCCAACCTGTGTTGACAGCTCCGTCTTTTGAATTCAGTCAGGGTCCCACGGGGGGGGGGGGGGGGGGGGGGTGGCATTGCAGGGGTGGTGCAAAGCATCCTGGCATGCCAGGAGACTGTGAGTTAGCTTGAATCTGGAGGGGATCTGAGACAGAAGTCCATTAAACCGATTTAACCTAAAGGCTAGGGACAGACATTCAAAAAAGCCTGAGCCTGAATTGATTCAATCTTTGCATGTTAGTCTAACCTGACTAGGCTAAATCAGTTCTGTAACCAGACAGACATCCCAGAAATGCAGGCATATTCCCACGGTGCTTCAGGCTAGAAGCCAGGAACAGAGGAGGGCATGGCCAGGCCCCGGCAGGACACTGTGATTAGAGAGGGGTCCCTCCCCCATGATAACAGAGCATTTATCAGCATTTAATACCTCATCAGAAAACAAAGCCTCACTCATTACAAGCTCTTCTTAAACAGCTTTTTCCAAAGGAAAATACATACCAGCCTCTGGCTTCTTTACTATTCATTCCATTCAGGAAGAGCACACACCAACTGCAGATCCTTCCTCAGGCTGACAAATGGTTCTTAAACCCAGAAGCTTTCTAAATTTTTTTCCAACTATTTAGTTGATCTAATAAAAGATATCAGATTTACCCAAAGAACCTTGTCTGCCATTTCCAAAGGAGGGAATGAAGGGAAATTACCGTATGAGCTGTTGATTACTTCCAAAAAGCCTTAAGTGGACACTGTCCTAGCTGCCTTACACAGCATTAGCTGGCATACAACATACTGACTAGAGTCTGTGCTGTGGGAGAGAGGAGGAAGGGATCTCTGCTTAAGCAGTGAGTGGCAAGAGGTGGGGAGGGGGGCATGGGGAACCCAGCAGACCCTGCTGTGCCTGCAAGTCTCTGCCAGAGCTCCAGCCAGGGAGCAGAGGAGAGGGGCCAGCCCTGCTGTAGAGCATGCCAGGATGCTGGGGGTGTCTGGTTTAACTTAAACCAGTAAAGGGTCTGGGACAGACATTGCATAAACCAGTTTGACCCAAATTGTTAAGTCTGATACTACATTCAACCAGATTTATCTCAAACCAGTTTCAGCCATTTTCAAACTGGTTTATGTGCACTGAACAACTAATCTGCTACAGGTTTAAACCAGTTTCTGATCACTTAAACTGATTTATGTGTAATGTCTGTCCCTAGCTAAATCAGTTACATCTGATACTACATCCATCCAGGTTTATCCTAAACTGGCTTCAGCCATTTTGAAAGAAGTTTATGTGCACTGAACTTCTCTTGTGTTACACATTTGAACCACCTTCCAAACACTTATATGAGTTTTTGTATAATTTCTGTCCCTAGCCTATGAGACACTGTGTTGAGGTGATTGATGTGTTGTGTACAGCTTCGTGACAAGTGACAAGTCCTGGATTCAGAGGCATAATCAGGCAGCTCCATGCCTTGGGTACCTTTGGTGCATGGGGCAGCTCCAGCCAGCTGCTTAAGGATGGTGGGGGTGACTGGGACACTGGCTCTGGGTGTTGACTCTAGGGAAGGAGGTGCAACATTAAAAGCAGCTGAGTTTCAAGACCAGCTGCCACCATGCTGCTGGTAGTGCAGCCAATGATGATGTCTCATGCATTGCTGAGACATCATGTCATTCAGGCATCTCAATACACTTCTGGTGCCAGCTGTTGCATTGTCAGCCATGGTGCTGGCTAATTTTGTGCACCTCCTCTTCCCTCCCATAGGTGACACCCAGACCTGTTGCCATAGTCACCTCTCCTTTAGTTATGCTACTGCTTGGACTGACGCAGATATTACATTAGCATTCAACCTTGACATTCTCAAAACCAGTTGCATTTAAGTGCTGAGATGGATTTTCAGTATGTTCTGCTTTTAAAGGAATAGTTTTGTTTTGCGTTATGCTTTATCCCAGGGGCAGGTAAAATATGGCCTACAGGCCAGATCCGGCCTGCCAAGCTGTTCTATCCAGCCTGTGGGACTCTTAGAAAATATTTATCTGCTCCTGGCAGCCTGTCAAAGAGTACAGGAGCCAGGGGCAGTAGGACGCAGGGGGAGCCGGCAGCAGGAGGCAGGAGTCCAGCCCTGCCCACCCCCAGCCATTTCCCTGCTTCCTGTCCCCACCCTGCTCCAGCACCACTCCCGGCTCCAAGCTGCATGACTGGACTGGGGAGCATGGGAACTTGCCAGTATGGGGGTGTATGCACATACACAGGCAGGGCAGAGAGTGTGCATGCAGGCAGGGGCAGAGTCCGTGTGTGTTTGTGTGTGTGTGTGTGTGTGTGATGTGTGTGTGTGTGTGTGTGTGTGTGTGTACATTGTAGGCAGGGGCAGAGTGTGTCATAGGTAGGGGCAGACTGTGTGTGTGTGTGTGTGTGTGGGTGTGTGGTGTGTGTGTGTGTGTGTGTGTGTGTGTGTGTGTAGGCAGGGGGCACCCACACCCCCCTCACACTGCCATACATGCAGACCCCCACACCTATACCCCCTCACACTTCCCCAGCCACCCTCCCTGCCACACAGTCCCCCCACAAACCCCATACCCACTCACACCCCAAATAACCACAACCACACCCCCCACAAACCTATACCCCCCAATTTTCAAAAGTAAGACTTCATTTTAAGTTATTGTGCAATCACCTATATTTACATTGCATAAACACACATAAACCAGAGCAAACATTTTTTTAAATCAAATTAATGAATATTGTAGATGTTTGCTTTTTAGAATATAATTTGGTGTGTTTCTGGTTCCAAGACTGCAAAACCCCTTGCTGAAAGGAGTGCTTCTGGGGGTAAGGGGAGAGACTTCTGGTGGCAAAGGTCAGGGGTTAATGGGCAATATTTCCAGTCCCAAGATGGCAACCAGGGGGCGGGGCACCTGTCAAGGGTAAGGGCTACTCATGCAGCCCTTGACAGCTTGTCAAAATTTGGTAAGCGGCCCTCCGCCCGAAGGGCCCACCCCTGCTTTAACCCCTCCATGGGCAAATGAACTCTTTCCAAACTTATTTTGATTTACTGTATCTTAGCAATTTTATGTCTTTGGATACTAACAGATGCCAGACTGACAGCCCAGGTGAGTGGGTCCTGTATGTATTCACAGAGCCAGCTGTGACAGAACAAACTGAACTGCCCATGCACTGTTCAAACAAGGAGCCTCTGCCCTGCATTGGAGAGTGGGGCTCACATCCACAGGTGTGATTTCATTTCCATGGACTAGGATAGTCTAGTGGTGCCCAATCTCAGGCACTGTGGGACAGATAAGTGGTGCAGGGCCAGCCCATGGGCTGGATCCAGAGTGCAGAGTTGTGTCATCTGGCCTGCAGGTGACAAATTGTTACCAAATATGGTTTTCTGATGTGACCCACTCTATTCACTAACCTCGCATGAACCGATAGCAGGGCATCTGCTCACAAAGTGCTTCATTTCTGTGTTACTCACAGCAATCACAGTGTTGCTGGTGTTTTATAAAATAGCATGGTGGAGGCATATATATTTTTAAACAAGCTTAGGCAGTGATGCTATTAGTTCATTAAGACTTATGGATAGAGAGGTTGCCTTTGTTTGTACTTTTATTCATATTGCCAAAGTGAGGGTAGGCTCCAGATTAAAAAAAAAAAAGAGTGAGATTATGTTGTGGAAAAAAATAAGTAACCATGAGGATGTCAACAACATGGCAGGAAACAGATGTTCTGGTAGAAACTTAAACCACTGCATAAGTTATCAGCAGTGCAATCATTAGGGGGAGAGCAGCAAAAGTCAAAGGGTGTGTTTAAATGAATATGTGGAGATGACCAAAAATATTTAGTCATGTGTATTTGTCTTTTTTTTTTTTTTTTTTAAAGACAGACCCTACTTCACTGTCAGTTTACAATGCTAAACCCAAACACAAGAACTTTCTCAGGGGCTCATCTCTATTTGTAGTTGACTTCTGTTTGGACTCCTGTTTTCTCAGTACCCAATAATTCATACTGCTTCAATTATCCAGGTACAATTAAAGTGGGTAAGCTTAAACCTGTGTGAATGTATTTATACTGGTGTAGCTTATTATTTTAGGAGGGGACTAATTTATCTTTATTCTAATGTAACAACATTCACACTAGAGTTGGAACTGATATATCTCTTGTAATAAAAGAGCACATCCCTAACCAATAAACTATACTAGTATAAGAACTGCTTGCAGTCCAGGCTTCACAGATAGCTAAGACTGAGGACTGTGTACAGCATAGCTAAGCACTGCTAAATTAGGTTGAGAAGGCTCAGAGAAAGCAGGAGTAGGGCTGAAGGTGCCTGAATTTTGAACTGAAGTTGAACTCTGACAGTTCACGGTGTTTTCCTAGGTGTTGCCAACTATTTTAGAATCTGTTTCTCATGCACTGTCTGGATCACTCCTGGTACTTATGGTCTATCAGGTTAAGCCTCATGGACTCATCTTATGCTTCTGGTTCCTAAATACCTTGGCAAATAAGAGAGATTATTTTAAAAATGCAAGCAAGACCCTTACCTGTAAAAAGTAGTTGATGCTTCCTCCAGAACCTGTATCTCTGTCCACTGCTTCAGTCTTGAGGATGCTGCTCCCTGAGGGAGTGTCCTGTAAATCAAAAGAGATAGCGGATTCAGGGGTGTCTGCAGAGCGATGCAAGGTAAAAGATAAGATTGCTAAAAGATTAGGAATTAATAAATGAGAAGACATGAAATGAGAAGCAGAGAGAGGAATTAAAAATCTGGAGAAATAAAAGCTGGAGGAATTGATAAAGGACAAGTCAGTGAAAAGGAGAAGTGAAACTTATGTGTGGATAAGCAAGTGTATCAACGAAAAAGGTAGTGAGGGAAACAATAGGAAGGGAAGAGAAAGAAAAAGACTTTAAATAAGGGGGAGTGGGACAAAAAAGGAAAAGAGATACCTTCATAGGGTTCAAGGAGATAATGAAATCTGAAATTATAGGAATGACTTTCCTAGAATGCTGCTCTTCCTCCATTTGAAGTCAGTGGTAACATTCTCATTGACATTAGTGCAGGAGCAGGCCTTCTATGGAAAATACTGTGCAAATATCACAGCTTCCTCTCTCATACTATTGTGGAGGACAATAGTATGAGACTTCTCAGGAAGTGTGCATGAAACAAGCACCCGATATCTAACTAAAATTCCATAATAAAAAGTAAAAGTTCATCACTGATGATATAACATCACTAAAAACATACTAGCTCTACTTCTATGCATCCTGTTGAAGCATTGAAACATATAGCATGCAAAGGGAGTCAACCAACCTCTGGGACATGGACTATGTAAGGTGTGTTGATGAACTCAGGGCTCTCATCATTGGCATCTGTTACAAGGATTCTGACTTTTTCATCAACCTGGAGTGGAATATGATGAAAATTTAATGAATCAAACTGAATTGTAGCAATTTCATTTGTCTGCTCTTTCATTTGTCTATTCTGTCTCTCAGTAATTCTCAAGCAGGGTGATGTGAGATCCTTTAAGTGCGGTGAGGGTTGGCATGCAATATTAGCACCATTAGGTATGCAAACACCTACCCAAGACTCACAAGATAAACCCAGAGATTTCAAATAGGTATTCATATGTCAAAAAACATCCTGACCTATCATGCTCTTTCTGAGTTCTTTGAAACAGAAAAATTGTTGCATTCTTTCTTCTGTAGTAAAGAAACAAGTGAAAGCTAAGAGTTGGCATTTTCAGAGGGGCGCCTTAAGTCTAAAACACTGAGATCCACTTGACTAATAATTTCAATAGCAATGGAAAAAGTTCTTTGTCATGGAATGTCCTTCTGCTACCAAAATTAAGAAGCAGAAACCTGCCTCCCCAGCAGCATAACAAGTCTTCTTAAATAATTATTTTAAGAATGGAGGGTAAAGTATTCTCTGAGATAAGTATTTTGATGTACGCAATGTCTTACAAAAGTCTCAGCACACTATATAAATTACAGCTGATAGGTCTGATTTTCAAAGTTAGTTTCATACTTATTAAACTTGCCATGAACCTAAACATCTTATTATGTGCCTACAAATATGTGACCTGAGCAGGTGCATGTTCAAATGTGTCCCTTGTTGACCATGCTGGTGCATAAATGACTCATCAGCAGGTGTTGGTGCAAGGAAATAGATATACAAACAAACATTACCTGTAAGTAGCCAGATTGTAAACTTACAGGGCATCAGTTATTCTGGTAACCATCCCATATGCAAACTCTCACCCCATGGTAAATTCAAGTTATTTAACTGCACTTTCATTAAGGGATAATCTACTTTGCATTGCTACATAGTAAAAATGTGCACATAGGCAGTTAGCACAGAGTAGCTGACAGGCTGTAAATTCTTATCCTACCCTACCTTGCAGTAATTTATTTATGTTTCCAAACCCTTTTATGTAAGTAGGGCATGAGCACAGATATGCATATGATTTGGAAAATATCTTTCTACATATACATCTAGAAATCACTGTGGCATCCAACCAAATGTAATCCCTTTTGTATTTATAAATATATGGTAGACAATAACAACTGCCAACAAAACTGTACATTTCTTTGTGAAGTAAAGAGACATTTTTGATTCATATAGTTGCCCTAATTATGGGAATTTCTATGGTACTCATCATCTTAGTAGTTGAGTACCACTCAAATGTTCATGAATTCTTTATTTGAGGTAGGAAGTATTGCAGATAATCATTGTTCCAGTTTTACTGATGGGGAAATGAAAATATAGAAGTTAAATGACTGCTTCAGGGTCTCACAGATAGTTTTGTGACAGATTGGGTGCATCTACACATGAAATTAGTGCATAGTTCTCACCAGAGTTTATTGCTTCCAGACACAGTGTTTACACATGCACCTGGGGCTACAGTACATTGAGCTGGGGCAGGAGAACCCTGGCTGGCAGGAGGCCAAGGGTAGAGGGTAAGGAGGGTCAGCCTGCCAGCCCAGAGCTGCTCTGCCTCAGCTTAACGTGCTGCAGAGTGGCTGGCTGGGGCATGAGGATGCTACAGTGAAGGGCCAGTTAGTCCCGGTCACCATCTACACATGTGCTGTGATGCACTAAATAACTCTGCCATAGGATAGCATTTGTATCAGACAGTTAACAGAAGAGTTAATTAATTTACTCTGGTCTAATAGCGCCACTGTGTAGAGAGTGATGCTTTACTGCGGAGTTAGTTAGTCAACTCCTCAGTAAAGTGCATGTGTAGATGTTCCCACTGAGAAATAAAAACAATATTTTCTGACTGTCAATCAAGGTCACAACCAGAAGCCTGTTGGGCATGCCAGTTTCTGTAATGAACTGTACACAAGGGAACAAATTCACTAGCTTCCCATCTGTCCACCTCTGATTCCACACTCCAAATCACCAGATATTTATTTATAGCTGAGCCAACTGGGGGCAGCCTTTAGCATTCTGGAGATAAGACTCAAGCTAATGCCTCTGGATCATCTTAACTTCTTTGCCCCCCTCCCTTTCTGGCTGTCAGTGCTGTGCCTTAAAACTGAAAAACTTGTTTCTTTAAAACAAGTGAAAACAGCAGAGAAGTTTGTGGGACCCCTAATGAAAGATACCAAAGATAAGATGAAACAGCACATTACTCAGTAAAGACTCCTAATACCATTCTAAGGCATAGGTTCACTAGGGACTTAGTGAGAGGACTACCTGATTCTGAATCTCCAACTCTAACTTGTGTAATGCCTTATATTTTGTTACAGACCCTCCAAGAATCTAGCAGGCTTAACTCTTCTTAAGGGCATGAGATCCAAGGAGATCACAGCCCAAGATGGATTCCTGTTTGAAAATGCTATGTGTTTACAGCCTAGTTTGAATCATACTGCCTCCTTGAACAACAGAATCCATAATTATCTAGAAATGTCTGTTCAATGAACAAGATTTAGGCGTGAGCTACTATGATTTCCTTGACACTGTCAGTAAGACAAGCATTGGCAATTTTGAATACTTACTGTATTTATGCCATCTGAAATACTGACTATTACTTCGATTTCATCTTCTTTCTGCAAATAAAGGAATCCATGTAAAACAGATCCAGTATTTAGCAAGATTCAAAGAAGCACTGAGTGTTTAAATAAATCACAAAACTACCTAGACCTATTATGCTAACAAAAAAGAAAGCAGTTAAATCATAGCTTTTGGTGTCAATTCATGGTAGTCCCAACAATAAGGCATATTGGACAATCATCTTTCAGGATCCTATGCTATAATCTGTGATATACTCTTATGTTTCAGATTTTAAAATAATCTTTTGATATTAGGATGAGCTCTCTTCTTGGGGGACAGATTACTCTACATGTACCTACTGCCAGGCTCCTTACATCTGTAGCATCTTATGCTGACCACTGTTAAAGGTAGAATAGTGGACTGGATAGACACAAGTATTCCTATGAAGATCTAGATGAATTAAATCCTTATATTTTTCAAGAATACAATGACTTAAAGAGTTATTTTGTGAAATTTTTACTGTCTTTTAAAATGTTTTTTTTAAAGTTGAAGGTCCATCCAAGCCTAACAGTCATTCGGCTAATGTGGTTCATTTGGCTAGGACCAAACCCACCTTTGACTCCACAACCTAAATAACCAAGGCATCAATTTCTAACTAGATCTACTTGGGCTGACCTTTGGCATGAGTCCAGAGCAGAGTTTAACTCACACCTCTGGACCTAGTGAGACACCTTTACCCTTTGGTACCATATCTAAAGGAATTTGTAAATCTTGAATAGTCTCATCTAAAAAGGCAACTCACAGGTTTAGAGAATAGGATCCTGGAGTAATTTGATTACCTGAAATACCTTATTAGTGGGGCTATCTTGGACTGACATTATTTAACTGGAAACATCTCTCTTAGTGGCTTTTATGTCTATAATTTTGAATAACTTCTTATATAAATATTTAGAAAAGTTCAATGCAACAATATAGCCATTACTGTAGCATTCTAAATCTAAAAAAATACTTGTGTGGATATAAAAAAAAATGTGCACAGTGAAGCATCATAACAAAAATCAGATTTTATCCGCAAGGTTTAGAAAAACTTAATTGCATTAGAAACTACACAGGAAAACGATGGAAAGAAATAGTGACGTTCAGCAAGAGCTTAATAGCCTGGTGCCTCCAAATTTTGTGTTAGGGACAGTTTTATGCATAAACTGGGAAAATGGGTGATAGGTTATATAATACACTATATAACTATTGTCAGTAGTATTCTATTGCATCATAAGTTGCATAATTTTGGGACCAAATGAATTGACACTGTTCTGTAAAGAACTTGAGTTGCTTGCAGGGCCCTATCGAGTGGTACTGTTTCACTGTACATTACCTCTCTATCAAGTTCTTCAATCAATGTGACATTCCCAAAATTCACATCAATGCCAAAGTATCTTCTTAACCCTGCTTCAAATTTAATTCCATAGGTTACAGGATCTCCTTCTGGGTCAGTTCCATTCAGAGTGTACACATGTGTACCTGAAAAGATGAAGCGAGTTATTTCACAAGACTGTTCTGTGGTAACTTCAAGCAGCATGTATTTTTATACTATTTCTTATAAAGGAGTTCCTTGGTAATGTATTTGTGTATTCATAAATAACAAGTAGTTTAATAGTTTTGATGATAATTTTCTGCCTATTGGTTAAATCCAGCGCACCAAAGACCATTGGCCTTCTCCAGAACTCTTATCTGCAGAATACTTTTAAAATCAGCCATTTATTTTTATCTATGCACCTGGAAGAGGAGTAGCAGGCCTTGCCTGACCCCAGGCAAGACTGAGGTGATGATAACAGAAACAAGGGAAACATGAAATAAACTGTCTCCTCTATAATATTCACTCTTTAGGGTATCTACTCTCAAAATTTCAGTTAATTCGGAGCATGAGGGCCCTTTGGGCTCTCAATTTTACTGGAGGCCCCCCAAAATAGAGAAACATTAAATACCCACTGCCTCCTATGACCAACCAGAAGATGCTCCTCCTCTCCTCATACTCAAAGTGTAACTATCTTTCACTGGAAAAAATGAAATGTAACAAAGCCAAGGAGGCTCATGAGAGCAGAAGAGAAGATTTGTACAAGAGGTCACTGTAGGCTATGGAATTCAAGAAATATGAGAAAGATTACAGACTTTCATCCTTTCAGAACAAAATAAATGCAAAACACTCTACCACATTGCTTCCACTTATTAAATTCTTCACAAGCAACCACTTATTCACATACAAATGAATGAACCCTGTAAACTAATCAATTTACTCCTTTTACAAGCTAGGAAAAGATAAATTGTAACATCTATTTTTAAATACTTGAGAAGTCAATGCCAACTTCAGTGAGCTGACTCTTTTTTATAAAAAGTGGCATTTCCTGCAGGACTGTAACACCTACATTTTCAAAACATTGTGAGGCGTATTTATTATATAGCTTTCTTGCAAGGCTCTTAGTCTATTTTTCACTTATAGAACATCCTTCATCCAAGGTAAAGTATTTTACAAAATTAATTTACTGGGTCTGATAGTGTTGTTGTGCTCATTTTTTATAATTATCTGCATTTTCCAATAAGTAAAGTGAGGCATAAGTGAGTTAAGTTAATTGTTCAAAGTCATATAGCAAATTATTGTCAGAGTCAGGGACAGGACTCAGGAGTCCTGATTTATCTTCTACTGCTCTACCTACTGGGCAAGTCACTCATTCCATTGAAAGTGCTTCACAGCTCTAAAATTATGGTTTAATCTTTTTTCCTGGTTCAGATTATAAAACCATTCTTATATAAAATGATATTTAACACGGTGGCAAAAGTCCTGGATGCAGAAGTTGTGTGGAGAAAGTTAGGGATAAATCTTTTCCCTGCCTTTGTCAGTGAGCCTGGGAAGTAACCAACAGCAGAGAGGAGAGGTGTGTTTGTGGTTCGAGGGAGAAATTAATATGGCAGAGTTGGACTTTGGATTTAGGCATTCACATGAGGTGTGTACCATTGTCAAATATAAGCACCCTATTTTGCCATGTTCCACGTTAAAAATACTCCAAACACTGAATTTTGTATGATTTTAACTATAACTCAGGTCAGCTTCACTTGGGTTTAATCTCTTTTCAAAGCAAAATCAGACAGCACTACTGCAGGTTACTATCTCCTTAATTACCACCGATAACATAATATTACTCTGTTGTTGTAACTGTGGTGCTGTCAGCAGTATCTGTGTGCCAGATGGGTTCCCTTTTATATTCTCAGGTTTGTAATAAAACCTTCTCAAAGCTCGCTTGCTTACCCTGTGGATGCAGCAATGAACCTCTCTCAATAACAGCACCATGGAGTATTGGCACACTCAGCAACATGGCATTGGAGGATCATAGTTAGCCAATTTGATTGTTTCTGTATACGTATATACAGAGAGAGAGAGAGAGAGAGAGAGAGAAAGAAAGAGAGACTATTCTGATTAGTTTTCTGAAGAGTTAGTCATATTGCACTGCATCAGTGCATGGCATTTGCACAATAATCTCTGCTACTGGCCCTGTGCCAGAAACAGGGAGTGTCTTTTAATTAAAGATTATATTCTGCAAAAACTAACAGACACCTCTGCGAACCAACTCAACAAATCCCCAGTGAATAGTGAAAGCTTTCAGAACAGGCTCACAAAACTGCCATGTCACTTCATTTTCCCCTTGGGATTAATCAAAAGAGAAAAAACTAAAAACAATTTTGTAATTTAAAAAGTGAGTAGGAAAAGCCACTGGGTTGTTACACAAGATGTTTTCTTTCTCCCTATTCTTGCCCCTAAGTAAATAATTACAAAAAGGAAGGCAGAAAATCTTACATGTAGATATTTTTTTAAAATAGAGTGACACAGGTAGGTACGGAGATATCTACATCCTGTCTTAGCCTCTTAAAGAAGAGAGCTAATTTTCAAGTGCTGAACATCCAGCAGCTCCTGCTGATTTCAAATATACTCATTTTTAAAAGCTTGGTCTTCGCTGTTTAACAAGTGTAAGGCTAAATTCTTATCACATTTATATAGGTGTATATCTGAAGTAACTCCACTGATGTCATTGTTAACACAGTGTTTTTCTCACCCTCTTTTTCTTTTTACAATATTTCACTTCTTAATTACACTCTCACTTTCTGTACCTCTTCCCTTATCACTGTCTTTGTCCTATCTGTTTCCTTTCCAAATGCTGAACTGTTTCTTTGCCTTCCAACTGATTTCCTCTGCCTATCTGAGATGTCCTGCTATGGGTTTCTTGCACATTTGTCTATGTCAGCTGTTGAAGCTATGTTTGCTTAAAAAACCTAAATTTCATGTTTCAAGTGCCGTGAACACTAGTGATAAAAATAGCTCTTGACATTTGCAGTCTATTACACCTTTCACCTGCAGAAAGCGAATCACTTTAATTAAACTCAATGATACCATCATATGGCAAGCTCCTAATACCTCCATTATAAGAGACATGAAGTCACAAAGACAAGGGACATGTCTACGGTCTCATAGCCAAGTTGGTGACAACCAGTGGATCTTATCTCCTTTTCTTTGGGACGGGGACCATCTTTTGGAAGTGCGTTTGTTCACCACTTAGGACACTGGGGTCCATGGCTAGGGTTCCTGGACACTACCACAATACTAATAAAAAATACAGCTTTACTCGCTAGAAACATTCTATAGCAAGTGCAGCATACAGATTTTCAAAGAATATTGTATTCAAACACATATGAAAGTATTTTAACCTGGACTTATGCAAACCTACCTAGCCCACTAAAATATAAGTAGATGGGGGCAGAATAATAGGAAAGTAGGATCTACAGAGAGGAACATCCCCTTCCAGGTAAGTCAAATATTAGCTCTACCATTTGTCCTGTTATTATAAGTCTACACACTGCTTCTGTTGAAATCTCTTAAGGAAATTAAGATCTGCACATTTTCTAATAGCTCAAAATGATATAAAATATAGATGTTCATGTAAAGTGTGTGATTGTTGAAGTTTCTAAAGAGAAAATGAAGCCCCTCATCAATTTTCATATCTTATTTCCTTTCTGGGTATCACACACCCTTGCTTTTGCAAATGCAGGGTATTTAATGTGACATTTTCACTAGATTGTTTGATTGTAATTTCTCTACTGGTTCAGTCTCAGTTCCTAATATTAGCTGACTTATATTTTAATGCACAAATTCTCCATATAATTAACACTCCAAGAACACTTTTCAGCACAGTGTTAATTCAAATTAAAAATTAACTCTTGGCACATAGACTCTACTTACTGAAAAGTAAGTACATTAAAAATCCAACTAACATCTTACCTGTGGGTTCGAGCAAATAGCCTCTTCCTGTCAGACACATAAGCAAATAAAGCATTATTCATTCTAGGCACAGGGAAAATGCTGGTAAAGATCCTAGTCCTGAAGCTCTAACTTACTTGATTACTTTTATTAAAAACCTTTATTAAAGGCCAACTTCATTCCATAAATCTACTTTAGTCAACAGGGGGGGGGGTGTGAATTTGGGCCAATGAGTCTACTTGCATTACAATACATTATCAGGTCTAGAATTCTGAAAACAAATGTCCCCTCTGTCTTATTTTGCCTATTTTGTGTATTGACTTCTGGGTGTTGGCTGTGAGATGGTTTCTTGGTTATCCACCTTCATAAGATGTCTATGTGCCTGACAACAAGCAAATACTTGCCAGCCTTATGGGAATTTGCTGTTCCTGTCTCAGTCAAATTCCAATTGCATTATAGGAAGGGAAGGAAAATGAACTAGTTTCTTATTACCTTGTCCAAACACAGCCTATTTGATTCTCATTAACTGGTTCATAATGCATGAGTACATTCAGCCTGGCATTCAGTTCTCAAAACTTCCTTGTAACATGGACTGTATCTTGCAGGGTTTTTGCTTAACAATCTCCCTGCACATTTACTACCACTTAACTTTATCTATCTGACATTCATGATCAGGCAGCTCACCTCTTCTCTTGTTTTCATTGCTGGAACTGCTTAAAAAATGTGGAAACCACCATCTTGACTAACAAAACAGACATGTAACTGTGGTCCTCCCTACTCTCCCGAGTTAAAAACATAAACTGCTACAGAATGAACGAACATTTTCTGACTAGAGATTATCCTCTCAGTACAGAGGCTCTGAGACAAACATTTCTCACATAGGTGCTATATCACTTCCTCTCCTACTGGTGATAGCATAACATCCCTGTTGAAACTACAACAATTGATTTAATAATTTTAGGAGGATATTTAATGCATTTACAGATGTCTTCAATACAACAACGTGACTAGAACCAAGGATGGAGCAAACACCACATGACCAGTCAGCTGTTTATGAATCACCAGCAAGTGCCCTATTGATCCAGTACCCTTTAAATGGCAGAACATGCTTCATTATGGTGTTGTACTCACCCTTCTACATCACTGCAGAAGATACTGCTGTTTCAAGACCTTGCATTTAATTGCATATAATTTTCTCTGGAAAGGGTTCTTTTAGGGC